CGCTCCCCCTTGGCCGCGGGGTCGCCCCCGGTGCCGGGGCCCTCGGCCGGCTCCACGCAGTCCCTGTGGGCCTCACAGGACGGGGTTCGGCGTCGCAGGGTGGTGCTGCCACCCTCTGGAGCCGGGGGCCGGGCAGGGCCCTCGTCCTCCGTGGGGGGGTCCACGGAGATGCAGGGAGGGCTCATCTTCTTCTTCCTGCGTGGCCCCTGCGCGGGCTCCAGCTCGGGAGCCCGGCCCCTGGCCTCTCCGGGGTCCGGGTGGCTGTCCCCAACGCCCAGCTCCATGGACGGCCACCTCTGTGTGTCTGCCCGGCCTGGCGCATCCAGGAAGCCCTGGCCGTCCACGCTTCGGAACCGGCGCAGATCCTGCCCGCCGCCCACCGCCCCGCAGGATGCCGGGGAGGCCCGGGGCGAGGCCCCGGGGCTGTGGGGCCCGGCGGAGGGCCAGGGCTGCGCGGAGCTGGTGATGTGGCTGACTTCCTCGTCGGCTGGGTCAGCGGCCTCGGCCTCCTCCTCACCCGGGGCCGGCGGCCGGCCGCAGATGCAGCGCTGCCCCAAGACGTGCTTGCGGGTGTGCACGCAGGCGGGCTGCGGGGAGCCGGGTGGGGACCGCGGCGGGCGGGCCTGCCTCCTTGGGGTCTTCTCCTCGGGCTCTGCGGGGCCCGGGACGCTGTCCCCAGAGCCGTCAGCTTGCACCTCCCGGGGCTCAGGGTGCAGAGCCTCCTGCAAAGACGAGGTCAGGGGAGGCCCGGCCCGGCCAGCGGCCACAGCCCCTCTCAGCTGCGCCCTGCCCTCCAGGCTGGCCGGGGATGGACACCCCAGACCCTGGCCTTCCTGACTGACCCGTGAGGCCTCAGCAGGCATGCTCATGTCTGCCTGCGCTGGGGCACGCAGCGTACACCGAGTCGAGGCCCCCAGGCACTCCAAGAACATCCAGCTGTCCACCCTTGAGCCCGCAGCCAGGCTGGCTGGCAGGGATGGGGGGGGGCCAGCAGGTGGGGCCAGGCAGGGCGGTCTATGCTCAGCAGAGACCCAGGCGCCCGCCTGCTGGCCACTGTGGGCCCCACCATCGCGGCCCGGCCCCAGAGCTGTCCCGAGCACGCAGCTCATACCCAGGCTCACCAACAGCAGGTGGAAGATTCTGAGCTCTGAGGATGCAGCGCTGCTCTCCCAGGGCTCGCTCTTAATCACCCGCCACACGGCCCCCCGCCCCCAGGCCGCAGGAGGGGCTTCCCTTACCTGTCTGCAGAGCACGCGGCCGAGGCTGGGGGACCGGGCCGCGTCCCGGGGGGAGCAGGCGTACAGGGGGTCACCGCTCCTGGCTGGGGAGGACGGGGTGGCTGGGACCGGAAGGGAGGCGTGGGGCTCCAGGGCCGGCGAGTGTGTGGTAGCGGCCAGGCCTGGGGTGGGGATGCGTGGGGCCGTGGTGCAGCCCACCCTCCCTCCCTCTGCCATCCCTCCCTCCCACACCCACCCTCCCTCCCTCTGGCTGCCCACCCTCGCCCCCTTGCCCAGCCCGCACCTGAGGGCCTGCGGCCTGCATCGGCCTCCACCTCCACCTCCGGCAGCGGGTGCGCGTGGGGGGCCGTGGCGGGTGCCACGGGCCGGAACATGTAGCTGTCGTTGGGCAGCGAGAGCATTCGGGACACCGACACCTTGCGCACGGCCGGACCCAAGGCGCCTGGCCCGGAGTCTGGGCCGTCCTGTGGCGGGAGGAGGAGGAGGCTGACCGCGACACCCACGGCACCCCCGGAACGCCCTCCAGCCGCTCCCGGCCTGACCTGCGCTGGCGGTGGGGGTGTGGGCAGGGGCCCCTGCGCCGTGGCCAGCTCCAGCTCGGCCTCGGCCTCGGCGTCGGCCTCCGCCGCCTCCCGGGCCTCCTTGTTGTTCTCCTCCAGGTGCTTCATGAGCACGGCCACCACCACGTTGACCAGCACGAACTGGGCCACCAGCACGAAGGTGACAAAGTAGACGGGCGACAGCGCCGGCAGGTAGCTGAGGCAGTGCCTGTCTTCCCGGGAGCACTCCCGCAGAGTGTCCTGGGGGGGGGG